AGAAACAATAGCATAAGCTCTAATTAGGTTAATGCGTTGTAGATTCTCGAATATGCATTCGTGTATTCCTTCCTTCCAGATGTCCTCGTAAAAGAATCTTTTTCCTTCTATTTTCATTCGAATATTATCTGAATTTTCTTCTACTCCTCCTTTTCTTTTTTCTTTCCCTTCCTTTTTCTCGTTATTTTTTTTTTGTTTCTTTTCCTCTCGTTCTTCCTCCTCTCTTTCTCTCTTTTCCCGTATTTCCCTCATTTCTTTCAAACCATAACTCTGTTTTACTGTTACTGACGTGATCCGATTTGAAGATCTCGCTCGAAGGTACTTTTACCTTCGTTTTTATCTTGCGTCTCCGTACAAAAGTATCTTATTAAAAAAATATCCGTCGTTCAATGCGCGACTTCTACCTGTTTTCTCATATTTTTCATCGTCTTTATTTCGTTACAAATATAAACTCATGGATCATAATGGTAACTATAACAAAACACTTTTTTTCTTATTTATAAGATATGAACAAAATTTTACCTGCTATGTATTCACGCAATCCCAATTTCCTATAACTCATCGATCATCCTTGCACTATTTTCGATCGTTCGTTCGGTTCGTTCGGCTGGCGAACGAAAAATTTTAACGATAAACGTTGCACCCTCTCTCCAAAAAGGAACGATAAAATATATTAAGATTAATGATCTAAATTTACCTTGAGACGATTTATGTGTTATAATAATACAACGTATAGCGACCCAACTTGATTACCGCGAATAATTTCTAAATTGTAAATTAAAATCAAAATAATTATTTCTACGGAATTTAAATTGCATCAAAATGGGGCACAATGTGGTGGTGTTTAGGAAATTAACGATTTGGTTGATACAATTATTGATATGAATAGGATGTTCAATGTGGAATAAGAATTAAAATTATTTTTAGCGGACATTTAAATCTTTATTAAATGTCTTTATAGTAAATATTCAAAATTTTGTATTCCTTAATGAATTATCGTTACGCGTCTGATGCAGAAACCATTTGTTAAGAGATATACCATTTTGCTACATTGTTTACGATTATCAAAATTTGTCTCATGTAACTTTTGATTAAACGACACATAATATGGATGAACATTACTTCTATGAAGAATTCGAAGAACGTTTCTTTGGTTAATTCCACAATTTTATGCAATTTGTCGTTTACTCTAGTATGTGGATTGCGTGTTACCGCTACTAATATAACACACAATAGTATTTAGTTTCATTCATAATAAGTTTGTTACGAATTTGTTCGAATTTCTATTTTCTCGAAGCTAATGACAAAGTCTCAGAAATAATACACTGTGATGATGATTGATTTCATTCGGAATATTTTTTATCATTTTTAGCAATTTCTTCTCTCTTCGCGGGTGACTACGTTAATAAATATTAAAAAATATATAATTGAAAATTTCTCTGCGTATGCTTAAGAGATTTTCGTATAATTGTAATATGGTTTTGTTTTAACTATAACGTTATGCTTGAAAAAATAAACATATACGTACTAATTTCAAATTATTTTTTTTTTCTATTAAATATCTCGATGACAAATTAATCGACAGATATATTAATTAATGATAATTTGCAAAGAACGTTTTGATAAATAGTCTTGTTCATTCTTTCGTAGGAAAAAATATCGAGAGCTTTGTTATGTTAACAGAAAATCGAGCAAAGTAACACCTGTTGCATAGCATAGAATGAAATGCTTATATATATATTTCATATATATGTACTCATACGAGAGATCTTTCTTCTGTTCTTTAATTTTCAAATATTTTTGTTCGAGAATAGAAAATCTTATGATAATCAATGCAACGTGTACGTTCTATAAACTTCACAGCCGTTTGAATAATTTTAACATTTAACGAACGCATACGAATTCGTTGTGTAACGGTTTGTAGTTGGCACATATATTACTCGAGATTTATTTTGTTTCTTTTTTTATTTTTAGTTTCCTTCAACTAAATTTCGTTTGGTTACGATTTCTTAGAAGTATTTGTATTAGAATGCGAAATTACTCGCAAAATGGGAAGTTTTTAACGTGCAGGCTCAAGTTTGAAAAAAAAAAAGAGAGAAAATGGATAGAAATATGTAAAGAAGAAAAGGGTGGTTAAGTAAGAAGGGATAGGAGGAGGGTGGTTCCTTTGCAAGTTCTCGTCTAGCAAACACTGAGACTATACGCTTCTTTCTTCTTCACTGACACAGGCACCTGCTACCGCCGTCAAATACTAACAAGCTAGACGACCACTTTCGAAAATCTATGTATCACAAGACGAACGCTTCATCGTCGTTTCGTATTTAAATTTTTTACAGCTGAGAAACAAAGTTCTCTTTTAGCTTTTTTTTTTCCTTTTTCCTTTTTTTTTTTTTCTCATGAAAACTTTGATCAAAATTTATTACGCTAGATTTTTTTTTTGCTTTAATTCAAGTTTTTCTACCTCGCTCGTCCGAAACGATGATTTCTTACATTATTCATCGTGCAACAACAAAAATTAATGACGATAATTATGCTTACGAATCATTTTACGAAATTAGTTTTATAATTCGATTGCGTAAAAGAAGAAAATATCTTTTTTTTTTTTTTTTTTTTTTTTTACCTACGTGCGAAAAGATTGATCAATCTTAGAGTAGGATGAAAGATATTCGACCTAAGTGTTTTCTCGTTTTTTATTATGTGTCTCGTAAAGTCAGTACAATATAAAGGAACGCAAGCGAAGAGGCTGGACGGTTTTCCCTTTTCCATGTTTATTCTATCTACGGTTCATTTAACTCTCAAATGTGCGAGTGATTTTCTCCTCTATCTACCATCTTCTATCTCGACCATTTCACTATATCCTATTTGTTTTTCTTTTCTTTCTTTTTCTTTTTTTTTTCTATCGATTACCTTCATCGTTGCCGATATTTTATTTTGCAAATTCAAAATGATCGATAAATGTAATGGAATGATTGTAAATTAAAAAATGAAATATTTTACTAAAAAAACATATATGAAATTATTCGAAAAAGTTTCGTGCCGTTCTCCGCGTAGGTCTCTGTAAATTATTTATTTTTTTTTAAATTAAAAAACGACGCGCGAAGTTCTTTTTTTTGCTCGCGAAGCAAACGTTTAATTGGATGGTTTCAAAAGAGAACAAAAAAAAAAAACAATTTTGTACGATGACAATATTTTCTATTTTTGTTTGCGTCATTTTGTATTCGATTTAAAAAAGAATTCGTACAGTTGTAAGACTTAAAAAACATCTTGTTTCTCGGTACTATCTTTTCCATACGCTTTCAACCGTAAAGGTGCACCTAAGTACATTCAGAAAAGTCGTAGCGCGTGTCTCCACAACTTTTGGAGTCCTTTGATAAGAAAATGTTAGCGATCCGAATGCGTTCTACTCGCGAGTAATGCACTTAGGTTGTTATCTTATGCACTTACCCATCCACTCACGCGTACGACACGTTGCACTTCCGTTTTATGATTCTTCTATTTGACCGGACGAAAGTATTATAGCGAAGGGAAAAAGTAGTCGTATAAGTACGTAAGGGAAAAGTTTCAATTTCGAAGATGGAAAGTCGAGAAAAAGGATCAAGAAAGTGTCAAGAAAAGAGAACTGTGAATTTTATTGCTATAATATATTTTTATTTTATATACCGGTTTTGAGAAGGAGAGGCATTTAAAAATAAACAACACTCGAATAACTTCTACATTGCTATTGGCGATAGAAAAAATATGTTTCAGG